ATATACACAGCATTTCCCAAAGTAAAACCACATTTATAAGTAATAACTTTATGTATTCATACTGGTTCCAATATTACTACACTGTTTTCCAGTGCTCCAGCTGCAGACACCTATGCTTTATTTATTTTTAAAGATTTACTTATTTATGCATACTAGAACTGGGGTACGGACAAGAAGTGCAGGGTGGGGGGTGAGAGGAGTCACCAGAGACAGAGTGGGGTTCAGAACAGTCAGACTGACTGAAAAATACTGTTGAGGGTGCAGCGGGCACATCAGGAGAGATCTTCTGCACCTTGCGGATTACCTCCTTCATGGGGGATGGAACTCCTGTTGCAGTGGCTGGGGATTGCTTCACGTGCTGTGCTTTAACTTGTTGAGTCACCAGGGAGGGCCGGCCCTGCTTTTGTGATTTACAGTTTCAGGTTACATAAGTTCTGAGTTCCCATTAATTCAAATCATGATAGTATCTGATTTTTAGTTGGCATTTGTGAATTTGAATTTGTACATGACCTTAGCTTCTGTTTCTTCTTTCATTTTATTCCAGTGTGGGCATTACATTTTACAGGTCTTGACAAATGAAACTTTTCATATTTTCTATTCTTTTGGAAAAATATGTGATATAGCTTGGATAGCATGATCCTGACCAAATTGTTGCATAAAATACTTATTGGGTCTACATCTAATCAGAATGAGAGTGGTAATAGGCTTTAGCAAGATTCAAGTTTTGCAGGGTATGGGCCTGTTAGGACCAACATATAATATAAAAAGCAATGAATAAGAAATAGGAAAGGAGACATTGCTTTCAATAACATTGAGATCGTTATTTGAAAGCTAATAAAATCCCATTTTAGAAACTGAGAAAGTGACTACGAAAAATTTCACTAGAAAATCTGAGTCATTGCAACAATGGTCCTGTCCTCTCAAGGGTCATCAAGAAACAAGATATGATGGACTGTCTGGGGCTGAACCCCACTTGTTATGATTATAAACTGATCATGCAGGCCTTGGTCCACTTACTTGCCTTTCCTGGTGCCTCCATTTCCTCAGCTGTGCAAAGGGATAGTGCTGACTTCAGAAGCTCGCTGAGGGTAATTGATAACTGTGTAAACCTAACACACTTATAACTGTGGCCAAAGACTAGCAATCATCAGTGTCAATAGGTGGCCATTTTTAATTCACTTAATGCCACCATAGGAAAGACGACAGTGGTTAGATCCTATCACCTCCCTGTGAAATGAAGTTTTCAGAACTCTTTTACTTCCTTTTTTGATAGTGAGACTTTGAAAAGCAGTTTCCTTTCTCCGCACAAAGGTTCCAGTTGGTGGCTCAGAAACTTCTCTTCTCAAATAACTGAATCGGGTCCTCATGCTGTTGTGCTCATTGCTGATCATCTTTGGTGAGTTCAATAATTTAAGTTAGAACTGAGATGACAGCAAGAGTTGATCTTCAGCTTCTGAAAGGTATGAAGATTTATCACAGCCTAAGGACTAGTGGGAAAGCTTAGGTCTCTACTTTCATTTTATGTTTCAAAGGCAGATAAGAAGTGTGGACTCCAGGAAAAGCAAATCACAATGCATCCCAATTCTTAATGGTTAAGGCGATCACTTTATCACTTGTTGCTCATGAATTTTGTTTTGATATCGTAAATCTTATAAATGTTATATGTTTTCCTGAACAAAAATTTCATAACTCCAATGCTTACTATTCCTCATGAAAACAAATTAAACAGTTATCTGTAAGATTTGTGTTCAGAAGATGACCTGAGACCATTTGCTGAAGTTTCTTTGCTTGATCATGTGGGATATGAGGTTAACAATTATTGCTGGGAAACAAGACTACTTCTCGATGCTCACTGGACATTACTTAGAATATGATCAGGGAAAATATGTCAATTCAAAACATTCATATTGCTTATGTGATATGTTTCTGATGAATTCTTTGTGATTTGAGATGGGATAATAATGTAGCAGTGTGTCTGCCCTGAGAAAATATGAGGGCAGTTGGCTGAGGGGAAGGGAAGGAAAATGAAAGGAGCCATCCCTCATCTCTGGGGCTTCCTCCTAGTAAGGGATAGTTTTGCAACTTGCTTGTGATTTTAAAATGAATGAGGGTTAGTTGTTCATTTGAGGGAGATTGAATTGTGAATGATAATGAAGTAGGGGAATGATAAAGGAGAGAAAGATAGTTTTTGAGCAAAGTAGCTGAGTAGTAAGTGTTTCTAAACTGCCAAGGCAAATGCTCTGAGCTAACCTCTGACTTTGGATCCCCTTACAGCTTCAGTCAGTGAACTGGCAGGTGAGTCACTCATCTTTGTTGTTCTTGGTCTCTGGTCTGTTCATTGCCAGGTTACCACGAGGTTCTGTAGGGATGGATGTAGAAAGATTGTGTGACTTTTTTAGATTTATTTATTTATGCATACAGAACTGAGGTACAAGCCAGAGGTGCAGGGGTGGTGAAAGGCTTCACCAGAGACAGAGTGGGGAGCAGTACAGGCAGATTGATGAAGTACACTGTTGAGGGGAGCAGCAGGCAGGTCAGGAGAGGTCTGCTGTGCCATGTGGGTCACCTCCCGGGCAGGGGATCAAACTCAAACTGACACGGCTACAGCTAGCTTGTCCTTATTCATTGCACCATCAGGGAGGACTAAGATTGTGTGACTTGTAAATGGTCTAATCTGCTCAGAGACCACCTAGTCTCTGCTCCAACCAAGCCAGTTTGGCCAAGTAAGCAGATCCTGCCCAGGTTTCACAAGGTCAAGTTTTACTCCTTGTCAAACTCCAGGTGTAGGGAGGGAAGTGGCATCTGAAAGAGGATGCCACTTTGTATAACTTGACCAACCCTCCCTGGTGGTGCAATGGGTTAGGACACAGCACTGCAAGCTAGCCACTGCCACTTCAGTGTGAGTTCAATCCCGAGCCCCAGAAGTGACCCACATGGCACAGCAGACCTCACCTGTCTTGCTGGCTGCTCCCCTCAGCAGTGTATTTTGTCAATCTGACTGTTCTGCTCCCCATGCAGTCTCTGGTGAATCCTCTCATCACCTCTGCACCTCTGGCTTTTACCCCATTTCTGTATGCATATCAATCAATAAATCTTTTAAAAAAAGAATTATAATTTTTCCATGGAATCATCACTCCTCAACATTGTCTTTGTGACTGTTCTCGCCACTCTGAAATTATTTTTGGAGGAAAATAACTAAAAACGTCTGCATTGTCAGAGTGATGTGTCATGGCTGTTTCTCTAACCCTAGATCAGGATTCAGCAAATATTTCTGTGAAACATAAGAGAGTGTGGAGACTAGGCTTTGCAGATTTCTGTCACATCTGTATTGTTACTGCAGCAGGAAAGCCTCTGTAGCCTATGTGTGAATGAATGGGCAAGGTTTTGTTCCAGTGATATTTTATTTACCAAAGTAGATAGCCCTGTGCTTGAAAGGCTGCTGGCAACATGCCTTTCAACAGCATCTCTGACTATGACTCAGAGTGGTTTCTTGCTATCCCTGAGAGCATTAACCCTGGGAAATTTTCTAGGGGTATACTAGTAGTTTAAAATTTTGTTTGATTTTAAGATCCATGGCTGAGTCACCAGGGGATCCAGTATCTACCTCTAAAGGAAGGCAAAACATCTTGAACGAAGCTATTTTTGCATTCACCTTTTCAGCTTTTCTAATTTCATTGCAAAATAAAAAATTGCCCTCCAATGTCAAAGAAGAAAATCTGGTTCTCCACCCAGAACAGTCAATAATGAAAGTATATGTATTCCCCCTTACCCCCCACCAAAACTATGATATCAAATTCCACAAGCTTCCTATGCTGTTTTGCCCTTACTCTGCAATGGTATTTTATCAAGCATCACATCTCTTCTGTAACTGGCATCTGATTCCTTACACTATACATACACATTCTGGCATCCTGTTACAAGTGAATAGTGGTAGGGAGTATTAGTTTAGTCCCTCATCTCAAATTTAAATTCCTTTGATATAATCCTCAAATATTATACAGATGTCGCAGAGAACATAGTGTGGTACATAAATATTTGAAGTGACAGTGTAGAAATTGAGACTCTATGACCAACATAAGATGAGCACTTCCAGGAAGTCAATGACTTTCTTTCACTATAATCTGTCCCCTGAAACCACGACCTTGGATTAAAATTTACCTCTAGCTCAGTAAACACTAAATGGATAGGAAATATTCTTGAAAGCATTCATATGGAAAGCTCTGGGAATTTAAAATACTGGGATTTAACTCCAGTAATCGATTTACTCCCATTTATCCAGGCTACATGATGGTTTCATCTAACAAGGCAAGAACACACAGAATATGAATTTCTAATGCAGTTTACTGCCTCTAAAGCCTGGATGAAGACAGAGGGAGTGGGTGGGCGTGTGCACTGAGGACAGTATTCCCTGTGTGGTGCTGCCGATGATGAGAGATAAGGCCAAAGAACTACCAGGACTCCTCACCCAAATAAAAAGTTAAGCTTACCACGACACTCCCTGCAGTGAACAGAACACTTGCGCTCCTCCCCCACTCACTTGTGGAAATTCTAGTCCTAATGTGATGACACTTGGAGGTGGAGCCTTGGAAATGAGAGCTCATGAATGGGGTTAATGCCCTCCTAAGAAGCCAGAGAAGTGGTTAGTCCTCTTTCTGCCACAAAAGTCAGTAATCACAACTAGGAAGAGGATCCTCACCAGAACCTGACAACCTTGGCACCCTGATATCAGACTGCCAGCTCCTGAACTGTGAGGAATAATTTTTTATTATCAATAAACCACCCAATTTATGGTATTTTGTTATAGTAGCTCAAGCTGACAAAAATCCCCTCAAGAGTAATGAAGGCATGCGTTGGAACCTTTATCTTGTCTAAAGGGGGAGACACTATACCTGAGATTATATCACTGCCCAAGGGTAGGGGACCAGGCTACATATGTGGGCTCAGACACAATGAATCACATCCAGTCTCTCTCTCTCTCTTTCCCAGGTATACCTCAACTCATGGCTCCCTCTTCTGTCTTTGAAGGCGACAGAATAGTTCTGAAGTGCCAGTATAAGTATAAGTGGAAAATAATTACTGTGACTTATTACAAGGATAAAAAAGAGGTGTTTTTTTCATATGAAGTTTCAGACTTCATCATACAAAGTGCAGTTCTGAGGGACAGTGGCAAATACCAGTGTGCTGTTATGATCAAATCATGGGGAACAAAAAAAGAAACTTCAAGAGCAGTAGACATGGAAGTCCAAGGTAAACCTTTACTCCTGTCGGAGCCAGGCTGGACAGGACTGGTGCAGGTGTGGGTGGATCCCTGTCAGGGAGAGCTCCCCACACTCCAGGTGACTTGAGGCACGTGGTCTTACCGTGCTGGGAGACATAATGATGTTTCTGCTTCTGAATGTCCTGTTTGCTAGGGATGCTTCTCACCAGGGACTTCTCAGCAGGGACTTCAATCTCTTTACTCTGGGACTTTTGTGGTTTTTCTCTTAGAGCTATTTCTGCCTCCTGTGCTGACAGCCAGACCCTCCTGGCCCACTGAGGGGAGCCCAGTCACCCTGACTTGTGAGACCCAGATATCTCGACAGAGATCAGATGTTCAGCTCCAATTTTGCTTCTTCAGAGATAGCAGGGTCCTGGGGTCAGGCTGGAGCAGCTCCCCAGAGCTCCAGATCCCGACCATGTGGAATGAAGATTCAGGGTCTTACCAGTGCCAGGTAGAGACAACAACTCACCGTGTCAGAAAAGGGAGTCTCCTGTCCCAGATTCAAGTGCAGAGTAAGTATTAGTGGGGCTGAGCTTGGGGAAGAGACAAGAATGCTGTGGACTGTTAGTCTCTTTGCTTCTTTGCACAATTTCTCTCCTGTGGAAAGTGGGACCTGGGCTAGAGAAATCCAGATTCCTCTTGGCATCTCTCTTTGTAAGTGTAATAATGGATCAGAGTCATTATCAAGCAAATCTTCACTGATGCCTGGTTGTGTGCCTTGGTTTGAGCAGTAGACTGGGAGCTTTCAGACAAGGCACCTGTTTCCCAGTGGCTTTTCAGATTTTTCCACTTACTGGATTGCAACACATTGGATTTGCTATAAGGCAATGTGGTTCCATGACATACAGAGTTAAATGAAGCATTTGAGAAAGCAGAAATCAATGTGAGCTAGAGTTCAGAGGAAGGGTTGCAATTTGTGTTGCTCCTTGAAATTGGGGATAATGAAGGAATTGTTAGTGGTATTGCAATTAAGAACAATGCCTTATCCAAAGTAGAAGAAATGGTACCAATGTCAATGACTCTCTTTACTCTGCAAAAGTCATCTGTCCAAACAGTGGCTCATCCCCTCAGAATGTTTTCTGTGTCATGGAGTGGATGATCCATCACAAATTCTTTAATGATTGCTACTCATGAAGTTAGCCAGGAATTTAAGGTTAAGATGCACAAATATCTGTTTTTCTGTGTTAAGACTAACACACACAAATATCTGGACCTAGACTTAGGGATTAAAACACAAATAACTGCACTGATAGTCTCCAAGGGAAATGATCATATGTTCCCTAGCTTTGTTTATTTGTAATATATATGCTACCACCCTATTCCCCCAGCTTGCGTTGGAGACTGAAATTATTCTACCTGGTTCCCACCCTCTCCTACATCAAGGTTATCTCCTGTGCATACAGGAGTCCCCATCTCCAATGTCAGCTTACAGACAGCGAACCCTGGGGGACAGGTGATTGAAGGAGGGAGTCTCATCCTGCGGTGCTCAGTGGCGGAGGGCACTGGAAACATCACGTTTTCCTGGCACAGAGGGGCCACAGATGTGGGATCAAAGACACAGCAATCCCTTTCAGCAGAGCTGGAGCTCCCTGCTGTGAAGGAGCTCGATGCTGGTGATTACTTCTGCAGGGCTGACAATGGCCATGAGCCCAAACAGAGCAAGTTGGTGAATGTACCCATAAAAGGTGAGTGACACCCTCATTCATCTCTGACCCAACCCCAAAACCAAGGTGACCAGGTACCAGAAGTCACAAGGAAGAGCCCAGGGATCAGTGCTATGGAGAACCAACAGCAGTTTGAGAGTGCTGACATCTTTCCAAGATAAACTGCTGACATCTTTCTTTTCTTGAAAGGAAACCTAAAGAGGGCTGAGTTGGCATAAGAAAACAGTTCCAGAAGAGAACAGGAAATTACCATGTTTCTAGACAGGAATCCAAAGTTGGTATTTCCCCCAATTTTGAAAGACATTGTTGGAACATCACTGTTATAGGGTAGTCCAGAGTGGACTTGGACTGCCTGTCTGTGGGTCCTCAACCCGCACACTCAAAATGTAATTTTCTGCAGGCACATACAAATAGGGTAATGGGTTTATTTACAAAAAGGGGAAAGGAAAAGGAACCAACCCAGGGAAAGAGAGCGGTATACAAAGTAACTGGACTATCTTACCAACTCGGCTAACTTGGAGCTCTAAGTCCCAAACTAACACTGCTAGTCCCCAGTCACACAGGCAGAGAGCTATTGCTCCAGAGAGAGAGAACCGTTATCTCTCCAGAGTGACAGTTGGAAAACCGGTCCCTATTTATCCCCAATGTCCCAGAATGCCTGCTTAGCTCTGCCCTTGGGTCCTCACAGTTCTCTCCCTGGTGCTACTGGGAGTTGTAGTTTCCAATCACTGGAGAAGGGAGTGGAATCCAGAAAGCTGGAGTAGGGGTGGAGTCCACCAAACTCTGCAGAGTTCCTTTATGACATCCTTCCCCTTAACACCACCTCTGGTTATTCCTGTGGGATGTGAGAAGGGGAGGCAGGGCCTCAGGGGAGGCCCCACAGGAAGTTTGTGTCCGTTGCAGTGGCCTAGTCCTCTGACCGATCTTTTGTTCCTATTAGTTCCAGTGTCCCGCCCTGTGCTCATCCTCGGAGCTCCCCCCAAGGCCGTGGTGGGGGACGTGCTGGAGCTTCACTGTGAGGCCCAGAGGGGGTCTCCCCCCATCCGGTACCGGTTTTATCATGAGGACGTCATCCTGGGAAACAGCTCAGCCCCCGCTGGAGGAGGAGTGTCCTTCAACCTCTCCCTGACCGCAGAACATTCCGGAAACTACACTTGTGAGGCCGACAATGGCCTGGGGGTCCAGCGCAGTGAGCCCGTGGCACACCTCATTTCAGGTGGGATCACTGTCTGCACACAGCACGGTCTGAGCACTGGCTGTCCCACCAAACTTTCTTAGTATAATATTGGGGCTTCAGAAGATTGTGTTAGGTGATGTCTGCTGTGTCTGGGAATTGATGGGGGTGATCCCAGCTCCTGGCTGCTTCTCTGCTCTCCACACTGACCCAAAGAGCACACACTTTTCTTAAATAAACTTACATGAATTCATATTTACCAAATATTGTTAGGGATGCCAGGCCCCAAGCCTTTCCTTTCTGAAATCCTGTTCTCCCCGTCAGGGACTGATGCCTATGGAGGAGACCCCATCATCGCCAGAGTTCTTGGAACTCTGTCTGGCATCCTTGGTTTCATTGCTGTTACTCTGCTGTTTTATTGTCATCCTAAGATAGCAGGTTGGTATTCACTGTTTGTTTTCTTTCCTCTTCACTGCTGTGGCTAGAACTGAAAACAACAACAATAATAATTATTCCCTAAATCAATTCATTTTATGCTTTACAATCCTTCAGGTTTGTAGTTAGCAATTTTAGAGCATGTCATTCCCTGACGGTAGTCTCTTGAAATTAAAAGCATAAATACATTCCTCCATGCTTGATTTTAAGTAAAAATTCTAACTATTAAATAACATTTAATACATTTAATAAGCATAATTCATTTATATGCAGTGGAGGAAAATATAATAAGGAGTGAGAAGTAAGGAATACACCATTCTTCCTGTTATTTATCAATTTCTTATTAGTTACTGCTCAAAACAGAGACAGTGACTCTATATGAATTGCTGGTTGTGCTCTATGGATCGTATGGGGTTGTCTTCATGCCTGGCAGTGGAGGCTGGCTATGGTTGACCTTAGCTAGAACTGTCAAATACAGTATAAAATTATGACCACTAATGGGCCTGAATTTCCTCAAAGCCAAGTGACCTCAGAATAATAAACATTTTAGGGACCTTCTTGGAGGCCTAGGGTTAAGTCTCAGCACTATCATGGCTATGGCCTGCGTCTAATCCCCAGCCAGGGAGCTGACTCACGTGGCACAGCAGACTTCTCCTGTAGCTTGTGAATCCTCTCACACCATGGCAGGTCTGGCCTGCACCCCAGATTTTCTATGGAAAAAAAAAGTAAACATTTTACATATTGACTGAGACTTCAAAAGCAAGTATGGCAGTTTATCTGCAGCATCTTTTATCAACAATTTTAAAGATTACAGTGGTGTCTCCCATTACTTTTTTGGGGGGGGCCAGGGGGGTGGGGAGTTTAGCACCTAACAAATATACTCAGGTACAGGGGATAAAACATGGAAACCACCTTCAAGTAGAAGAATTGTCACAGAATTCACTACCATATTGTAAGTTTCCACACATACCCCCCTAAATTCCAATCTATGTCACACAATTACATGAGCCTCTTAGCCGTCCTCCATGAACTTGTCAAACAGGAAAATTTGTCTCTCTGAGCCCTTCCTTTTATCTTATCTCAGACTTTTATCACTATTTTACTCCTTCTTCAATACCTTTAAGCAAATCTAAACTATTTTGCCCAACATTTCAAGTTATTCTCTGTTGGAGATCAGCTCCAACTATTTGAGGTGTCTGCAGGCAAGACAGGCAGGACCCTAAGGTGGGAAGGTGTCCGCGAACCTCTGCCTAAAAAGGGGAGAAGGAGAAAAAGGGGAAAGGGGAGCGAGGAAGACATGGGAGTCGGAGTTGGGTGCAAGTCTTCCTGCTCTGCCTTCAGCAGAGGTTTACTTTTATACATTAGGAGCAAGCAGTGGGATGACATCAGCACACGAACTGGGCTGAGAGATTACAATCATCTCTTTTTTTCTAAGAACAGTTTAGGGTTGTTGTCCTTTAGCTGAGATATAACATTCTAAAATCAATCAAGGTTAAAAATAGGTACATAGGTGCACAAAGTTTATGATTAATATTACTATAGTGGAGATCAACTAAGATAGAAGTCCCTTAAACCTTATCTACTACTTAATGGGTTTTTGTTTTTCTACCTGAGTCATTCTGGGAGACAGAAGAGGAAATTCCTTGCTAATCAAATCTCTGAATAGGAGACATAGGTGGATTTCCTTATCTGAAGACTACATAGTAGAATCCTGAAAAACTAGCCAGAAGACTTTTGTGGATTTCTTTAAGGTGTAGCAGGTAGAAAACTAGTTTAAAAAAAGACAACCTGGATGAATTTCCACATCTAAAGGCCAGACAATAGGAAGTTTGAGTAATTCTTTAGAAGCTAAATAGAAGGCTAGGTGAGATAATAGAATGATAAAATTTGGGTTTTCCTCCATCCGGCAGTGAGAGAGACTGCAAAAATAGCCCTTTTGCTTTTATTTTTTTCAGTCAGTAGTCAAGTCACTTGACTTCAGGGGAATTTTTCACCCTGGTGCAGTGCTTGCTTGTCAGGGCAGGCAGGCCTTATGTGGCTGAGGCAATCCAATTGTAAGCTGAAAGTTGCTCAGAATGTATTGATATTACGATTATACAAAAAAGGGAGGTCATAACATAAGTTAGCGTGGAAAGTCTGATTTTTTTTCAGAGCAATTCCCCTCCATCCCTACCGTGTCTAACAACAGAGGTTGCATAGCTTGTGTCAATTCTCAGAAGAAAGTTTAGTTCAATTTCTTCCTCTTATCACTGGGAGCATAAAAGCATCTTTTATAACAAACACTTCATAAAGCTGATGTGCTTTTAGCATTTTTAGCATGACTGTGTCTCTTCATAACATATTTAAGACCAACAATTTTGGGAATTTCTTTTATTTATATATCATACTGGTTCCTATTAGTATTCTGTTAGTAAAAAGTGTTGCCGATGACCAATTATTCGGCCCATTATTACAAGCTTTCATAAATCGTCTGTAATTATAAAGAAGCTTTAAGTGTGTATTATTGTTAATGTTTAACAATTTGAGGGAAGCTCGCCAGTGTGCTGTATTCACACAGCCCGGACTGTGGACCTATTTGCAGAACACACGTCTGCCTGGACACTAGCTTTGTCCGCCTCCTGACTTAAACTAGTTCCTTTTCTAAGCCTCACTCATTTCAGAAAGGGTTATTTACTAATACGTCAAATACAAGGCAAGCATGGGGCACATTAGTACATGGACATTTAAATTCTTACTAAATGCTTCCTTAGACAGAGCTACAAGTGACATCTTTGTCACTTGTACAAGTGACAAATTTGAAATACCTGTCAATTTTTGTCCACGTAGTAAAAATGTAATCTATTTTTTTTCTAGTACAGTGAAAGTTAAACATTTTAAACAGATCATTTAAGACTAAGGAATTGTGATATTACACCAACGGGTTCATCTTCTGATTCTCTAGTTCCAAGATAACTTTTCCAGCCCTTCACGCCTGTTTAGAACCTCCTGCTTTAGCTCCCGTTGCACTATTAGAGGCTAAAATACCCATTCAGAGCCTTCTATGTAGGTCTCCAGTTCTGCTCTGTTTATCTCCCAAATTAGAAAATAAATTTATCTCACAGCGAATCCAGGATATATTTAACATATATTTGACCCTTCTAGATTTTAAGGTGATATGATATTTGTTCTTTCTATGAAAAGAGCATAGAATGAGAAGACAGAAAGTGAAGACACTTTCACACCTATTTAGCCACTTTTTCTATTGTCCTATTGGCCAAAGTAACATGCCATGCCCAAATGTGAGTGGTAGAGAATTAGTTTCTGCCTCTTTATGAGGGAGTGACAAAGTCACATAGCAAAGTGACACATGCAAGAGGACAAGGCACAAACATAGACCGTTATTTACTGCATCAAACTTCCACATAGTCATTGGCTGGCACTAACAATCTTTTAGCTCTTCCTACTTCTTTTTAGTTTATTTGTATACACTCATATGAAAATATTTTTTCCTGGGTTTTCTGCGTTTTCTGGGTGACTAGTTAGAAGAAGTTTTAACCACAGGTGCAACCTGGGCAAGTGTGACTTCAGATAGTTGATATTACTACCAGTTTCACGGAGAGTTCTTCTTTAGTGAAATTAGTTGAAGGTTCATTTAAACTAATTTCTAAACTGAAATAAAAGCCTATTTTTTAAGAAGATGATTCAATTGAGAGCACCTCAACCCATCAAAATTGATCTAATAATAAAAGAAAATCAGGGTCTGCATCACTTTGCTTCCAGGAGGGTCCTTGGTCTCCGATATAGATTATCCAAATTTCAACTCATTAACTGTTGAGCTCTGCATAGACTAATGATATCAGACAAGGTGACAACTCTTACTTCATAAAAACTATGTTTCATTTTATTGCTTAACCTCCCCATTCCCAGGATAATGGGAGGACAAGGCACAAACCATCAATGCATATAGTTTCTCTCAAAGTGGCACGATCTCTCTCTTTTCTTCAAAAATATTTGAGTCAATTGTGAGTGCTATAGGAAAATATTCAAGAGATTCCAGAGTGATAAGTAATTATAGAAAAAAAGAAAAGCAATCCCTTCTTTCTGTTCCTTAGTTTCTTTTTCTTAGAGGCTTATAAACTATTCTAGAAATATGTAAACATAAACAAATATCGTTATATACAGATCTTTCTCCTTCACACAAATAATATCATACCATGTGCTATTGTAAGATTTTTATCAATATTACTTGGGGGGGGGAGCTGTTGCATATAAACCTGCAGCATCTTTTTTAATGGTTGAAGAGTATTCAATTTTTGAATTTGTCATGGTTTTTAGTAGATTCCTAATAATGGAAATTGAGGTTGTTCCAAGTTGTTTTCCACTACAAACAATTCTATACCAAATATTCTTGCTTAGGTGTCATTTCTTACACAGCTCAATGTATCTTGTATCAAATAAAATTTCCAGATCTATATTCAATCTTTCTAATTTTATGGATATTGTCTAGTGTTGTTCATAGTGGCTACCAAATACAGTCCATAAGGATATGTCAATCCTTTTTGCATGATACATGAGCCATAACATATATGTTCTTGGTTTTGTTTTGGGTTGGTTTTGGTCTGCTGTGCCCATTAATTGAGAAACATTGATGCCTGTAGCTGTGACTTACACTTCTCTTTTTTCCGAGCCCTGTGTTCATTCCATGTCACCATTGTGTATTTGATTTTGGCATTCTGCTTAGTGGCTTGTCGACAATCATTTCATATGAGATAACTTGGTCCTTATATGTGATGTGAATGATCACATGGTCTCCCAGTCTTCACTGTGCTGGCTCTGCCATTCATACTGCTGCTCTTGCTATGCAAACATGTCACTTTATGTGGTGTAATTTATCACATTTTTTATTTATACATTCTGGGAATTTTGGGGGTATGTATTTTGGACTTTTTCTATTCTTTGATACTAAAAAATCCCCATAGAGTCTTGAAAAATTTTTCAATATTTATTCATTTATTTCAAAATTTAACTTCATAATTATTTTTATTTTTATATAATTGGATTTGCTTGACTTTATCCTGACGTTGCTTGGATGCTGTCTATAGACCTGAAGTCTGTGAATCTCAAGTAGCTTAACAATGTCTGCTAGGAACTCTACCAGGAATGCAGTTTTCTACCATTTATGTCGTATCACTAGATAAATGACACAGTTCTGCAGAATTTAGATTTTTCTCCAAGGTACTTGTTCCATTATTGTGATGCTGTCTCTTAATTTTTAGTTTCTGTGGATTTAAAAAAAAAAGGGATTTCTTTCCATGTCTTGGCATATTAGCTTTATAGATTAAGGTTGTAGGTTGTAAGACATACCCCTAGGATGCCTGTTGCTTTGCTTTATAGATCATGCCTCTGCAACTTTTGGGTTACTGCTGTTCTAGTGTGGGCAAGGTGTAGGAGAGAGGATCTGGGTCGATGGAGTACGAGTACTCACAAGTACAAAAACCTCAAGCCTCTAAAGCACTGTGGGTGTTTGATTTGGGCTGAGGAGACCACAACAACCCCCACTTCTAAGACAGGTCCTCAGTCAAAGCTTCACCAATAGCCTCAGGCTAGCACCAGCCCCTAGCTGTGGTCTAGCTCTGCAGGCTTACTACCTGTGGTTTTTTTCCAGGAGTGTGTGGGCAAAAGAGTGATCTGAGAGCCCCAGGTTCACACTGCAGAGAGGTTAACACCTCTGTTAAGATCACAAGTGAATGAGGACTATGTGTTTCTCAAGGTTTGTACATGATATCCACAAAACACTGCTTCCCCTGCAGTTATGAATATGTGCAAGAGACAATCCTAGTGTCTTTACTCTTTGGTCATCTTGCTAGACTCCCTTAAAATATTTTTGTTATTTCCTTAATGAATCCAAATTTCATCAAGTATTGTCATTGTTCATCAGTGCTTATAAGATAGAATAAAATCTATTTAAAAACTTATTCATTCAAGGAAGACTTGTTGGAACCATGTACACCATTATCATGCTGTTTGAAAATATATGTCCCTTACCTTTATACTTGAAATTGAGTTGGTAGAAAATTCTGAAATCATGCTGTAAGAGGGTAATCCTCAGGAAGAAGGGAGGGTCCAGGTTTCCTGGCCCACTCTAAAGAAGGATGAGGGTGGGTAGAGAGGAGAGAGTGGAGAAAAGACAGGGAGAAGGAAAGGTGGAGATCAAGAAGGCCTGGAGGAGGAACATGGAGCAGAGACATGTGAAGAAGAAATTGCACATGCTTGGAATTGTACCAGGGACTTGGGGACATGAAAGGAGACAGTTGAAACAGGTGTGGGAGGTTGACAATGGCAGCCTTTATCTTGGTTTTCATTTAGCGCTTTTCCTTCCAGACATGTCTGTCCCTTTCTGCCCTTTTCCAGGGGTTCCCACCAATGTGACTAATATTTGTGGCAGGCTTTTAGGTCTTAGCATTCCTGTGCTGGGCCAACCCTCTTTGGCTGAGCAGTTACCCACAGGAAGTGAGTAATTTTTGGTGCTTGGTTTGGAAACGATATTCTTTTTCGTTTTTATCTCTCTATCACACATTAATTGTGTTATATCTTTTTTGTCCACTGAAGGTCTCATGCACTAGAGTATGTTGTGTCTTTATGTGGCATATGGCAGGACCTATTTAGAAAGGGCCGGTTTGGGGTTTCTAGGTTACCTCTCCCCCTGCCATGTAACAACACATCCTTTTCTTGGAAACAAGTTACTCCTTGGGAAGCTAAGCTTATATAAGCTTTCTAACACTGTTCTCCAGAAAATCTGAACACATTGGGAGGTTGGCTGAATTACTGGGCAACGTTTTTCATGACATGTCTACTGTATCTAGGCTAGGAAGACTCTGATCAGGAGCATAAACGCTTGGTGAAAAATAGAAAGAGAGATGTGGCGAGTACAATTTGACTTTTTGAAACTGATCACTCCTTTGTAGTGGCACCTATATCATCTGTGTGGTTATGTTGCCTGAGCTTTTAGTTCTGGACTATCAAAATAAGAATGGCCATGCAAAAACTCCTGAGTCAAGATGAAGCATCCCTCTGACGCCACATTGCATGGATGCGTCCATGCAGATGTGCTGTGTGCTTGTCTTTCATCTCTCTGTAAAACCAAATGGTGCAGAAGAGAGCCCGTCACTCCTTGGAAATGCCAGTCTGAAACTTACCCCCAAGACTGCTATGGAGTGGGTGTTGCTAATATCAAAACGTTTAAAAAATAAGAATGGCCATGCAAAACCTAAATGAGAAGATTAGTAATATAGACTTAGAGATTCAGCAGTTGAAGTAAATTTTACAATAATTGAAGCAACATGTTTTAGGTGCACGAATTGACAGTAACCATATGGCGGTTATAGTAACCATGCATTTGGGGGTTGCCATTTGAAGTGATGTTTCAAATAAGTACCGAAAACGAATGGATTCTTGAGCTAACAATGTTGGGATAAATATGTAATCATTTGGACGGAATATAATTGGATTTCTCTTGTGTATCTTATAACTTACTGTTTAATTACACATGGAAAAGCGTATACATTTTTAGCAAATAAAACTTCTGCCCTTGAAATGCATTTTTTTAAATCTGCTTTTCAGGAGGGATTTCTGCCACGGCTGTCCTCAGGTAAATAACTTTTCTTACTCAAAGTTGCAACTCTAGAAGCTCCCGTATTCACAGCTTTAAGGATTTATTACTTTTCTATTTGTACATAGGAATTAAGGCGATTTGATTATAAGGTCTCTTTCTAGAATGCTTTCTCATGTCTCCATTACATTTATGGTATGTGTTAGGGTGGTCTACATGCCTCTTTTTCCACAACCCTGATATGAATAAGTTACTATGCTAATTGATATGTTAAAGATTATTTGTTGAATACGTATAATATATGAGTAAGCTTTTGCTAGGTTTTTAGAGAGGTGAAAGTATGCATGGGATGGAGTTAATTTCCTTAAGGAACATGTGTAGACAAAAGAGAGAGACATAAAATAACCAGAGAAAAGCGTATGAAGTTCCATGAGAATTCATAGTGGAAAAATATTAAATCTTAGAATTACTATTGTCTTATTTATGATGCTTAAGAAAGTTAGAGATGAGTAATAGCAAATGTTTTCCAAATCAATGTGACTATCATGTTCAAAAAATACTTTGTGGTTAGGAGACTTGTGACTGGCTGTGACTAAGTAGTAACGGCTTGAGTGACCCCCTTAGACAGAGGTCAGAAAGTTGCTCAAGGGTTGTGCCTTCCTGGCCCCAGACACATTCTCCCCAGCCTGTCTCCCTACTCTCTCACTTGCTGCCATTGGGGGCTATCATGTTAGCACCCTTTTTCCCAGAGACGCTTCCAGCCCAAATCTTCCAGAGCCTACCCACTCCAACCCCCTCCCAGAAGACAAGGAGCTGCAGCCAGTGTATGCCAATGGTGAGTGTCTGCTGAGGCAGAGGGGAAAGAGGAGGACTTGGTCTAACTACCCTAACACCACGAGCCCAGTCACTTGCAATAAAGTGGCTTTATTTTAAGTAATTTAAGTGGCTTTCCTGTAATCATGCTGAGGTTGGGAACACAGTTATGAACTAGTGAAAGGGGAGACGTGTATGAAGTTTGAAATTTGTCTATGGATGTCTGTGCCTCTTTTCTTTTTTCTGCAGTGGACCCTGTAGGCATGGATGTGGTTTATTCCCAGGTCTTAAGCATCCAAAATCCAGAAGGGTCAGGTGAGAAACTGCTAAGGGATTCCTGTCAGTTGCATCTTCCCAGGATAATAATACTATGTGTGCAAAAGAAGTTTCAATACATCACTT